TATGAATGTGAAGAGGGCGAAAGAGAGAGATTTATTTTAGCATAATATTTGACACAAAGTGGAGACGTACTGAACATACTGGGGGCAGGAGATCTTTAAACAACACCACATACCAGGATCATGAGTGGAACGCTAATAACAAGCTAGGGGTTGTATCAGGCTGAAATGCAGGCAATCGCATGGAGAGGAAACGAAAGTTTATTAGCGAATGTGTTGTCAGCAAAAATCTTTGGCAAATAATCTGGCGAAATAAGGTCTTCTCTTCCGAATCCTGTGTTTCACATGGAACATAACTGATGCATGCTAATAATAATAATTACTCATGAAAAGTGACTGCCTGTTCGTATTTTAACAGTCTATTCAAAGTAAAGCAATGAATTTTCGAGGTCCCATCAACTCTTGCAGGGATTTTATTCAATTAGAAACGCTGGTTCAAGTTATTTCATGTTTAAAATGTCTCCAAAATGAAAATACACCTTGTGAAGATTTTAATTCCTCTAGAAAAGAACTGACTTGCAAGGGTCACAAGATATGGAAATATTTTTTATTTTTGCATCATCGGGACTGTTTAAAAGTAGTTTTGTAATGAATACTTTCTATAATTTACGTTTATTTTTGTATATAAAGATTTTTTACGAGTTGATCACGGATTGATATCAGTTGGACAAACAGTGAAAATTAGGGAGTACTGCACAGCTGTTTCATCAGCCTAGTTTGGGAATCAAGGACAGTACGCACCCATCACAAGAGTTTGAACCCAGGACCTTCCGGTGACAAGGAAAGCTGGCTCGTATACCATTCAGCCACTGAGACCCATGAATTCTAACTTCCACCAATTCGTGATTTAGCGCGACCACCAACCAATGTCATCGGTGGGATATCCATCCTAACACTTGACTGAATGGACCTCAGTGGTCGCGACTTCTCACCAGAACCCCAGGAAGATCCTGAGTTCAAACCCCGGCAGTGAGTGTACCGCCGGTGATTCCCGAGACTAGGTTGAAACAGCTGTACAGTACTCCCTGGTTTTCAATGTTTCCCTAACTGATATCAATCCGTGATCACCTCGCAAAAACAAAACTAATCCATACAAACCAACTATAGAAAAGTATAGAGATTTATTTTGTGTCTTTTTAATTAGTGTTTCTTTCTCTTTTGATAAACTGAATTATAGAGAATTCGAATGCCAACATAGATGTCGCTCAGATAGAGGACCAGATAGTGCTATACAAGATGTGAAGCCTACACCACTACAAGGAGCATCCTTGGCAGATGTAGTTCAAAACCCAATAATCGGTGAACAAGAAGAATCGAAATAACCACACTTCCATTGTGCCAATAGTTCATTTTCAATTTTAATTGTTTTAGTCTTCAAAATATTATTACTTTATTACACAATAACGTTTACTTATTACTATGATCGTTGTTCTGTAGAATTAAGTTACAGTTAGATTGATGGATTAATATTTACATAGTGTGACAAATTATAAGCGATATAATGGAAATTCAACTTTCAGTCCGTTACAAGCGCATAACTTTCGCGTTACCGACAATGTCTTTCTACAGACTAATGCAGGAAACCTGCTTATTGATGAAATTTTCATTTATTCTCTTGATATCTACAAAAATTAACTATTAGTGAATGCAGTTGAATAATCCAGCGCTCTGTATCTCCTCCATATTACGATCTTAGACTTACAGTTTGCTGTCCATTTTGACAAATTTTTATGGACAGATATTCTATCGATATCTGCATGGTGCCCTTAATGATTTAGTCCAAATGAATGTCGATAATAGATAACTATTTTGTAATAAGGCGGCATCTCATCAATAGCTGCCTCAGCTCCACACTGAGGATCAGATAACCGGTTGGGATGGAAAGGCAACAAAGAACTCTTGCAAAGAACCCAACAAATCATGTGCCAGGAAGATCCTCAAGGGGACCGAAAATGGGAAACGATGACGAGCTAGGTGTCCAAGAGTGATATGGAGAGAAAGAAAGTTTATGGACAACCTTTGAGCCAACTGAAGAAAACTAGAGAGAAAAGAATGAAGTAGAGATGTGATTATGAAGGCCCATAGTCCACTCGGAACCCAATGGAATAATAATAATAATGAACAAAGTGGCTAAATAGTCTCGTATGACTGGCTAATTCTTGTTCTAGAATAGAAGGCACGGTTAAAATATGACAATATTAGAAGAGGACAAAAAATGAAAGGTAGTCAGTCTTTTGCGAATTGTCTTGCTCACTACTTATACACATTTCTTAAGGAAGGAGATACGAATTCACCTTCACACTAAGATACACACTTCCTATCTTAGGTTAACCGAATCGGAAAAACTACGAAGAATTGAGGGATGAAAGGTGAAATACAATAGATTTGAAAAGTTCAGGTCATTATGATGAGCCAGTAGTCAGTATGAATGTTCAAACATAATTTCAACATCTCCCAGTATTATTCATTTTTAAATCAATTTTGATCTTCCCGTTGATTGATTGGGCTGAAATGTTCGGCCTCCATTGGCATGTCGACTCCACCTAGTACAGACCCTTCAATGATGTGTGAGGATTAACTTGAAGTAATTTGATAGGTGGTGACTAACAGTGGAATCCAGGATGCATCACACATCGTCCTATTGGGGACTCGTCAGCTACTGAATGGACCTGTATACCCCAATGAGTGATCAAGATGTTCCCACTGAGACTCGAATCAAATACCCATTGTTTCGGACGCCAAAGTGTTATGTACTAGACTACGATCTTCATTATTCTTATTGCCACCTGCTTGCCATTTTGCTATCATCGACGTTATTATCATTACTAATGCTATTATTGTAATCGTCGTTATTATTGACATATTAACACTTATTGTATATGTGATCCATAAATTTTTTCGTGATGTGCGACAAATCAAAAGTTGAAAATACGGTTTTAGTTCTCGCTCTCCTAAAAACTACTGGTTACACATATACATTCAGTATTTAATTTCGTATTATCCCCTTCATCAGTGAAATGCATTTAAGTGTTAGCAGAAGTCTTGGTCCATTTAGCGTGCAATTTTCTGCCTAACAATACCAAAATAATTGCTGCAGGACTATACTGCATTAATTCCTAGTGAAATAATTGAGCGTGTTGACTTATTGGAATTTTGCATTGGCTGTAGTCCACCAGCTGATTACTAACGAAATCTCATATCACACATGCAAAAAGCTCTTTTGGCACTTGCCAACTTGCATCACGCTTGATACCGGTGTGATATCCAGCTGTCTGTCCAAGAAAGTGTGCACTGTGTATCAGATTACAGATACCTTTCGACTTCAAGTTTGACCAGAGATTGATAACAGTTCGAGAACCATTGAAAACCAGGGAGTAGTGGATAGATTAAATCCTCATTATTTTCTATAGGATTATTCTTTCCCCTGAACATTTTCTCTCCTCCAGCCGTGTGTATATGTGTATGTACTTTCATGAAATGTTTGACTGATTGACACTTCCAATGACCATGCGTCTCACAGCCATAAATAAGGGTAGAGCAAAGTGGTGCGCAGTACACAGACGGCCTCTTAGTCATATCCAAGCCGGATAACAACACGTCTACATGAGAGATGACTTAAGTCAGCAAATGATACACGAGTCTTTTGTCTTCCTGCTGAGATCCCACCAGCAGTCAGTCAGTAGATTGGGAGTATTGATGCAACTTCACATATAAGAAGAGTGGTCAACACTCTCAACCACTTGACACCTAATATTTCAGACTAGGTGTTGATCATCTTACAATTTACAGGAGCAAATCAAATATCAAACATTCAAAGATTACTGTTCAAAGTGTTTAGACACTTGGACTCTCAACTTTGTAAGCATCTGCATCACCTAGGAGAACAAAATGAACATACTCAAAGTCGACGAGGCTGTTGTCTGGCAACAAGTCAATCCCTAAGTCGGTAGAGTCTGTCTGTCTGTTTTTGACATAAAACTTTGCACATATGTGCAGCAGTTCAAGTCGACACACTCCATGTAGCACACAAAGCAAGAGAAGAAAGTAGAACAAATGTATAATAGAGACAGTAGACAGGGATATGAGACAAAAGGAATAGTGATAACGAAGAACAACATAGTTTCATTGGAAATTTTAAGCCACAAGGAGCGGATGCATCTGCGCCATTGAGAACCATTTTGACCCATATCACCGATTGTTTCTAGTCATTGGTGTTTGCCGTCCCGAGGACCCCAACCAGTCAGGAAGTCTACACCTTACTACGTGGCTGGCTTAAACGAACTGTTGTGGATTTCATTGACTGATGAAGCTATGTTTTGGTTTGACCACCGTTAGCTCTTTTCCAGCCTGACCCTATGTCAGCTAACATTGCCCGTCGAGAAAGGCGATGACTAGGCATACGTAACACATGTCGGTAGAGTAAGTTAGAGGAAATCCCACTAATGCACATTTACTTGATGAAACTGAACACAAATGAGGATAGTTGACATCTCTGACAGATACCAATTATTGTCATCATTTCAGAAGACAACTCTCCATAAGCTCATACACAGCTGCATCAGTTTGAGTAGAGCCCCTTGATTAGTATGATATACTTACTCGATACTGCCTTCACGGTCGAACACTGTCACAGCATCTCTTGGTCGATGGAATCGAATTCCACCGTCCGGTTAAGAAATATGGCTATTGTTGAACATCGGTAAGTAAGCGTATTTTCCAAAATCTGACGAAGAGTGAATATTATATAACCAGCCACCTCAACAGTTGACTGACTTTCTCGGGTTCGTTTATATGATGAATTTAAACAAAAACAGGACAGTTTCACTCATCATATATATAAATAGTAGTTATATTTTTCTGTGTCTCTTTGAATACATATCACAAATGTGAAAGTGTTTTTTTTATACAAGAAAGTGGGTTGGTTGTTAAATGCTATGAATCATTTACACACATTAACAACAATAACAACCACGACAGAAGTCGTAGTCATTCATCATTTCATCTCATCTCATCCATTCACTTCTTAGCATAGCTAAACATAATCTTAAATTCATTGATTTCTGTTTGAGTACACCTGCTAAATCTGGTATATGTATTACTTTTGGTGTAGAAGTAATGCTTGAACAACCAGTAGTATCATCATTATTCCATATGACACGTAATAAATGATAACGCCAACTTTGTTGAGAGGCACACAACAATTCAGGTAAGGAGAATTCAAATAAATCTGTAGTCGAATTGGCATTAATTTCACTGTTAGTAGTAGTAGTAGTGTTATTATTATTGCTATTGCTGCTGTTTGGTGCCATTGTTGACTTGACTTCAAGGAATATAGGACCGATGGCTAATACACCTGGTCGTGACGATGACGACGACGGCAAACTCTTAGTATCTTGATGTGATGATGATGATGATGATGGACTACGAATTACACGAACAATATTACACGCCAGTTCATTTCTTAAATTCTCCATTAATCCGTTCCATTTATTGGCGTCACATTCAACTAAAAGAATTAATTAATAAATAAATAAATAAAGGAAATTAAACCAAAAGGGGAAAAAGGTGGAATAATAATTAATTATTAATTGAAGGGTCAAATTTTACTTACTATGACCTACGTGACTAATTAAAGCACTAAACATATAAAACAATTAGTTCCCTTTATGAATTTAGATAAAGCAGTTTGAATGTAGCTATTAGATGGTTGGAGGCAATCGGCAAGAAGCCTTGGACCTAGGTTTCGTGCTAGTTGGCACTCATCAGCAAGGCGTATCTGCAACCTTGAAGGAACTGATGTCCCTTCTGAGATTCGAACCCGCGTCACCCAGTGCTGATATTCAGACTCGCGACTGACCTCCTGTAGGACTGTATTGGATATTTTTGATTGAACACTAGTTACTGACTAGTGTTCAATCAAAAATATCCAATACAGTCCTACAGGAGGTCAGTCGCGAGTCTGAATATCAGCACTGGGTGACGCGGGTTCGAATCTCAGAAGGGACATCAGTTCCTTCAAGGTTGCAGATACGCCTTGCTGATGAGTGCCAACTAGCACGAAACCTAGGTCCAAGGCTTCTTGCCGATTGCCTCCAACCATCTAGGACCAACAATTAGTAAACTTCGTTTTGAAACCACGGCAGATGTTTTATCACCTCCCTTCTTTGGTTTAGTGATCTTCACTGTTATTTTGACTTTCAATATTTCCTTTTAACTTGATCTAAGTCTATTTCCTCACCTCTAAACTCTTTATTAATTTCATATATATATTCCTATGACAATTCCGTGTGTGTGTGATCACAGATTGTTCGAAATGTGTTGCGTAAATACACAATACACGATTCAGACAAATTATGTCTTCCTATTGCTTTGTTTAAATTAAATATGTGGTAAAACCTGCAGTCTCAATGTATGCTGGATTCAGCTTCCAGTTTACTGTACTACAGCTTAATGAGTGCTAAATGAAGGCCGACAGGACTATAAGGACGCTAGAAATCGAATTAGGAATAAAGATGTCAGATACAACAATTAGAAAACAGAAAGATTGAGCGAAGAAATATTTACTTTTCAACTAGATCCTCATCTCTGGCTCTACTATAATACATATAGCATTTTTATTACAATACACAACAGTTTACCAATCCAGTGGCGATATGTTTGTTAACAATGATTAGTCAGTGTCAACATGTAAATGGGTTGATAATAAAAGAAGAAAATCAATACAATAATGTCGAATATTTTCAAGAAACCTAGCATCATTTCTAGATTATTGTAAAATTAGATAACCGTTAAAATGAACCAACACAGATCTCTGAAGCGCCTTATCAATGCACAACAAGAACACATCTCTTTATAAGATTTGAACAAAATGAGCTGGTGAAAGCAGCTTCAGTGTGTAAACGCATAACAAGTTTATACACTGTGCACATCGACAGTGAGCAGTAAGCGACGAAAGCCAAGTGGATAGAAAAGGTAGCCCAACAGGCAATAGACAACAGCTAACCATCATTCAGATTGACCAAAAGGCGACTACAATTTAAAAAACCTGGGGTTGAATAAACTATAATTAACAAAAACGAGTCAATAGTTCCCTTATAAAGAATGTTGATTGGAAATAAGGGCAAAAACGGCATTATAGCAGAGTTCAACTGGTCCAATGTTCATTCGCATTACCAAGAGCTTTAAGCAAGACTGTGAAGTACATAGTAGATATGGCTTAATGTATAATATATATTTATATGTATATCGGGAAATTGTCATTTATTCCACAAATAGTATTTAGTATTATGACAGACTGATGAGTGGAACCGGAATAGGGAACAGTGAGTTGGGCATTAGTCCGATGGTGATATGGAGATCATGTAGCGCCGTAGTGTCATCTAACAAGAACTACAGAGAACAAGATAAAATAGAGGAGCGCTGATGAAGTCGACCCCCCTTCCGTATCTCCCAATCGGAACGCAACAGAATACCAATAATAATAACAGTTATGTATGAGTGATAATCAATTACCTTGAACATCTACTTCCAGATCATATGGTCTCATTGATTCATTCTCCGAATTACACCAATTACATCGAATCAATCGTCCAACACCGAGTAGTGGATGACCGGTAGGAAAATCACAGCTAGCCATTTCATCAAAACCAGTCTGATGACGATTTTCTCCTCGACGAATATAATCTAATAGTGTTTGATAAATATACATTTCACCTAGACGACCAATATTAGTCAACCTGTCAGTTGGATTAGATAGGATACGCTGCAGACGTGTTTTTAAGTATTCTGGAAGGTTTGTATTCTCCTGTGACCAGTATTTTGATAGAGGAGAGGATATACTATCAATTGTTTGTACAGTTTCTTTAGAAAGACGAAGAAATGGAGCAGCTGCAGCTATTGTTGGGCAAAAAAACAACAAAAAAGGTGTTACAATGAGAAAAGGAAAAAGGGCATTCATTAGACTTTAACAAATAAATATTCAGGTGTTGGTTTGTAGGGATTTGATTGGTTTCAAGTTTGATCGCGTAGTGACTTCGATTAGAATTGAATGATCAGCCAGCTTGGTCTGGTTACCTGGTGGTCCTCGGTTCAATCCCTGGTGGGGTCTTGGATGGGTACTGTTTAGGAGTCCCAGACTAGGACGAAACAGCTGCCTAATACTCCTCCCTGGAGGTTTTCGACAATTCTCTCACTGAAATCAATCTGTGATCAAGCCTGAATTAAATGTTCTTTAAGACGACTAGCCATATTTCAAAGAAAGCATGCAGAAAATAGGAGAACAGAAATAAGACAGATAATACAATGAAGAAAACATGAGTGTGACAAGAGAGAAAAATAATTAGTTGAAGGTTGGTTGAATCATCAATGAGCTTGGTCTTGTAACCTGAAGGTTCTAGGTCCAATTCCCGATAGAGTTATGTCTTCGCACAGTTTTATCCTCTGATCTTACTTGGTTATCGATCTCCAAGAAAATGTTCTGTCCAAGTTACTACATTAGAAAGTTAAAACTATCTGGAATCACTTAACCTCTGCTCTCACAATTTGTTAACTCGTGTATCTTACCTATTGTACTTGACTGATACCCACCCTTAGTCTTCCTTGGTCTACTAAAAAAGGACTATGTTACTGTGAGAAGGGTATTCAAGGTTGTTAGCAGAGCAGGTGGTGTGTAACTTATTCAGCTTCTCACTACATCAGTTAGTAGCTATCTAAACTTATGCAAGAAATCGTCTAAATCTATATTGTCTGGCCCTCAAAACCCCCTCTATTTTCAACTCACCTCATACACCTCATCTGATAGAACTAGAAGTCAGTACAAGATTATATGCTCGTACTACCAAGTATAGGAACTCAAAGATACTTCATTTGGCCAGCCCATGTTCTGTGTGACAGAGACAATGTAAAGCGTGAAACTTATGAATTACTATGTTGTTGCCTAAATAGTTGGCCCACCTATTATCTCTCCTATTGTAATCTATGGTGACAATACCTAAATTAAATGACAATCTTAGCTACTAACCTTAGTATTATTTACGTTTTTTGTGTATATATATGTGAAAATACATATACGACTTCATTGTTACTACAAATACCATACAAGAACAGTCATTAGCAATCCTGTAATATGATTCCAAAAATTGTTTTTAATATTATTTGATAAAATTAGATGCAATATTGTACCAAATGCTGGAAATTCCACACTGTAACATTAGTACTGTTTTGGAATAAAGCACATTATTTATTATTATTAGTGGGTGCGGACCGCTGAAAAGTTCCGAACCAGGACAAGGCATAAATGATAGCTGGAATCAAATTATTGAGGATGGAAAGACCAGGTCATAGATATATGCATTGCTTCCTACAACTGTTCAGCGCTTGAATATTATTAAATTTCATAATACGACTGAAGCACTGTGTTAAGATATTGAATTTCATTATCACTGTTATTGCCACTCGCGATAACAGATGCATTGGAGACTGTAGCTTATCAGTCAGTTGATCCAACTGATTTTCAACCAACGAAACTTGGATTCGAATCTGTCTGTTTTCGACATAGAAATTTGCAATGATGTGAAATAGTTCAAGTCACCACACTCCACTCCTTGTAGCACACAAGGCAAGAGAAGAAAGTGGAAGAAATGCATAATAGAGACAGTAGACAGGGATATGAGACAGAAGGAATAGTAATAACGAAGAACAATATAGTTTCATTGGATATTATAAGTCACAAGGAGTGGATGCATCTGCGCTAGCCATTGAGAACGATCACTCTGAGCCATATCACCGATCGTCTCCACTCGTCATTGGTTTTTACCGTCCCGAGGACCCTAACCAGTCAAGAAGTCTACACCTTCCTACGTAGCTTAAGATAACTGTTGTGGATTTCATTGACTAATGAAGCCATGTTTTGGTTTGGCCAACGCTAGATCTTTTCCAACCTGACCCTATGTCAGCTAACACTACGTGTCGAGGGAGGCGATGACTATGCCTACGTAGCACATGTCCTAACCATCTCAATCGATGTAGCTTCATAACCTCGTCGATTGATTTCCCCTCCTTACCTAACACTCAACGCCTAACCCCAATTTTGCTCACCTTGTTACACCTTCCACCTAACACGAGAGATAGAATGCAGACACCTATGATCAAAGACAGATAGTCGGCCTTTTCATGTCTTCCAATCTCAACGGCCACGTCTCACAGCCATATAGGAGGATGGAGCGGACTGATGAGCAGTACACCCGCTCTTTGGTCGATAGCCAGCCGGATATCACGTCTCCGCCAGAGACGACGTAAACTGGCATATGCGAAACTAGCCCTCTGTATCTGTGCTGAGACTTCGTCAGAGAAGTCGGGTTCGAATTCCACTTCACATACTTCAGTCATGGAGTAACTGGGTGATAACCATCAGCTATCATTCACACATAAAATATCTATTTCGTACATAACTGAATAAAACATACATAATCCTATATAAAAATGCATTACCTTGAAGAGCAGTAATAG